AAAGAGTGCTGGGGTCAGATGACTTTAGCTTTTGTTGGAAGTTTCTCTACTATATTACATTTCTATTTTAAATGTAAAAATATAGAGCAAAATGATTTTTAACTTGCTTTTTCTCTGTGTTATAAACAGACCTAGCTTTATTAATTTAAAAGTAGTACTGGTCATTTTCCTTTTTAAAACCTATTTTGTTTTTGGCTTTTCAGTCTTTCCTTTTTATTATTAAACCTTTCCCATTTTCTCTCATTTTCCATATGTAAGCAGGTTATTTATCCTGCTGCCATTTACAGGACAAGTAGCTATGTTTATCTTTATTTCCCACAACATAAATGTCAGTCTTTAGCAAAACAACAAACCAAACCAAAATACTCTGTCCTCCTCAGACATTTGAAAAGCTACTTTTTGCTCTGGCTTCTCCTCCCATCAAATTGTTCCCTCACAAGTTTTTCCCTTCCCTTTTCCTTTCACTTCCCCTCTCTGGCACTTTGAACTTGGTTTTTTCTAAGTTTCCTGCTGGGCCAGGCCAAAATGGTGACCCTGAAAATCTGCAGAAACTGGGTTACAAGGTCTGGCTCTGATGATGCCCTACAGCTCTTCTACTTCTTGGTTGGGTGTACGTCTCATTTGAGTTTGGATACTTCACCTTGCAACAAAATGTGGACCGATTTGTGTCATGCTGAGCCACTGAGGGGGCAATCTACAAGATGGAAGACAAACAGCTAATCCTAAATGAGAGTAAGAGGGGTTTCAATCTCTAGTGATACAGGAGTTTTGATACTAATGAATGTTTCATGCTCAGCCCCTGGGGGTAGGCAACACACACTTTTTTACAGGGTTGTGCAAAGCTTCAGGTGCCAGTTCGATTTGGAGGAGATTCAGCCTGATTCGGTGGCCGAATCTCCAAATCTGAATTGAATCAGGGGACCAATTAAAATGTCTGAATCAATTCGAAGCTCTCCGAAACTTCGGAAAAGATTTAGAGAGCTTTGATGACTTGGGCAGTCCTGAAGCAGGGAGCTGGAGCCAGACTCAGAGCTGGTAAGCAGGCGGCAGGGGAGGGAAGGGCTGGAGGAGCGGGGATGGGACTATGGGGGCACCCTTGCCAGCCTCATCCCCTGCCTGCTCCCCACCATGGCTGCCCTGCCTGCCCCCTCCTTTTTTTTTTTTTTAAAAAAAAAGCCTGACTCACTGGGTGCTGCCGGGCCAGGGGGTGATCCCCGTTGCTCCCCACTGCCCCACGTTGCATGGGGGGCTCTGACATGAGTCCCTCCAGGCCCCCCCCCAGGCTGCCCTGCCTGCCCCAACTCTGGCCCTTTAAGAAAAAAAACACCACTCACCACTCCTGCAGTGGCCTCAGGGCTTCGGGGGGCTCATGCAGAGCCCCCTACATGGTGCGGGGTAGTGGGGGCAGTGGGGATCGCCCCCCTTGCCCTGCAGGAATGGTGAGTCTGGGGGTTTTGTTTTTGTTTTTCCTTAAAGGGCCGGAGCTGGGCTGAGTGGAGCTGCCATGGGGTGGTGACTGGGGGCGCTGCCTCCCATTGCCCAACACTGCGTGGGGGGCTCTGCATCAGCCCCCCGACCCCCCCCATGGTCCCACTAGGGGGAATGCCTTACTGGACCTAGTATTGGCAACGGGGGATGATATGGTAGGGGACCTACAGATCAGTGGTCACATGTGGGACAGTAACTAGTAGGGTGGAAGTGCTAGACTTTAGGAAGGCTGACTTCAGCGAGCTCAGGCGTTTAGTCAATGACGCACTGCAGAGTAAGAGATTTGGCGAGATGGGAGCCCAGGAAGGGTGGCTGTGCCTTAAAGAAGCGATCCTTTGGGCACAGAGGGAGATGATCCCGATGCAGCGGGGAAAGGGGCCAAGAGGCTTCCTTGGCTGACCAGAGAAATCCAGAGCAGCCTAAGGGCAAAAAGGGGGGCATATAAGCAGTGGAAACAGGGAGAGATTACTAAAGAGGAGTATACCTCCTCAGCTTGCAGTT